TGCATATATTTAATGAATTGAATTATGGTGGTGAATATTCAATTGATTCTGGTGGTAAGGGTGTGGATAGGGCTAATGAATTTACCAAATGGATTTCAGGTCAGAAGGTTATCAAGGTTTAAGAAATATTCTCTACCTTGGTCCACTGGGAACAAAACATTTTTTCCTAGAAGCTAATGGACTCTGTGTACAGCAATCTGTTACAGCAGCCTGTACAACTTCAGTTGCCTCCTTCAAATGATAGGCAGACCAATTTGTCATGAGCATCCCCTTCTGCATTTTGGAGGTCAGTGTTAATGATGGAGGGATGGGTTATAGGCAGTTCTACTTCCTTTACACAAACAATGATAAACTCTCATCATTTGCTTGTTATAAATAACTTTAAAAATAACAACGAAAAAATAAATATTTTAACAAGAAAAATCAAGGCATTAAGAGGAAGAGGCTGGATAATGTTTATAGAAGAAAACTGTAGACTTCATAATAATAATAATTATTATTTTCTTAGTATTTCTGTCCTGGCTTCCTGAAAACATTATAAACAACAATTAAGATTCATGGCTGGGTTTAATGCAGAGCTTATTGTGGTAGCACTTCTTGGGCTGGGCCATTCATTTCTTTTGTGGCATATATTTTTACAGATATTTATTGAGCATTGCTGTGTGTTTCCAAAGTTGTGTTGAGCTTTAGTGGTGAGCAGCTGCCAACCTTAAGAAGTTCATATTCTAGTTGGGTAATGAATGGATCCTAATTTGTATATTATATGCTTTTCACTACACACTGTCATCCCGGCTTCTTAGCACAACCCTGTGGTGCTTTACAGGGGTTCTTCGGTTAAAAGAAAGGTTTTAGATGAATCACATTTAGCAGAGTTTATCTGAGTGGAGAACAAATACTGAAACAAATCATGCACTGGAGCATTCAGAAGGTGGTGGGTTGGAGACCCACATTTTGCAGTATGGGGGGGGCAGTAAAACCTTTCTTTTAACCATAGAAAGCAAAGTGAAGGTAAAGTATAGAAATGATAGGATTGGTTATAGAAAGGCTTCCACTCTATTTGAACACAGACTGATCACTTGGCTCCCTGTGATTGGCTGATGCCCGGCTGTTACAAAACACACATTCCTAAACTAGGTTTTGATGTAATTTGAGTTAGGTTGTAGTTATTTACCTTGGTATTCAAAGTACAGAGATAGCCTTGGACCATAGCCTCCTGCTTATTTAATTCTTTGGAAAGAAGTAGACTGTTGTGGATCTTTCCTGGTTTATTGTTGCAGAAATTTCTCTAGACCAAGCGTATATAAAGCTCAGGTGTCTTAGCACACAGAGGGGACCCTTGGGGGTTGTCTTGGTTACTTTTCTCTCGTTGCTGGGACAAAATATCTGACGCCCAAAATTTAGGAAGGAAAGGTTTATTTAGCTCACACTTTGTGGACGTTTCAGTCCATACTTGGCAGGTTACAAGGCAGAGTGGCACATGGCAGAGAGCTACAGCTCATGGCGGCAGAACACAGCCAAAGAAACAAGCACAAAAGCCAGGAATGGCCACAAGCAGCCTCTTCCTCTCCCTTACATATGCAAACTAACCACCCGAGGGCAGGTGTAGCTCTCACACCCATAATCAATCAACCTCTAAAAGCCTGCCCCATGACCGCATGAGGCTTTGGGGGGACACCCAAACACAAACCATAACAGGGGTCAGTCTTCTGGAAACCCCTGAGACATAGCTAGCAGAATCTTCTATATCTTATTTTCTTTTAACACTATGCCCAATAGAAAACTCCTTAAGGCACATCCCAATCCCTCATCACACTCTAGCATCATAAGTGTGCTCTTTAGCTCCTGTAAGCTAACTTCCAAGTCAGTGTGTACAACAGGCCTTTCCTACAGCCACCCACATCAGTGCAACGCCTCCGTTCATCTGCACCACACACTCTAAACACTGGGCACCAGCCCCGTCCACTCCAATGCAAATGGCCAAACTGGAATGTGCTCCTCGGGGATAATTTCTTCCACTCTCTGTTGAGAGCACCCTGTGCTTTGCAAAGCAATCTCTCCTCCCCACGTCTATGATAACAAGCCATCTTTTACTGCCTCCTTCCTGTATTCTTTCCCCCAGTTGTCTTTTATCTTTGCAATGTTGTTTTGTTTCCTCTTGTGTCACAGATCCTCTGCTCTCTCATACCACACACCTGTGTCAGATGACTTCATTTATCTCCATGGCGTTGATTTCTATCTATATAAGAATATCAAATCTCTTTTACAGCCCAGCTCTCCCTCTTCAATCTCCCTTGGGAACTCCTCCGTGAACACAGTGCATAGCACCTTCCCCTGGCACTATGTGGAACACAAACTTTCCCCCAGAATACTTCCCTTGCCCTAAGCTCCATTTCAATAAGTGGCACTATAATTCATCCTTATTCAAAATCTTGAATCATATATAACTTCTTACTCACCCTTCATTCTTCGTATGTCATCCATCAAAAGTCCTCTGGACATTTTCTATGCAGAGTAGAATTTGCTATATAGACTTTGTCCATTTCTGTCACCTCGACTAGACCTCAGCCCAGACCACCTGAATTATTCAAACTGCCGCTTGGCCTGAACGAGCCCTTATTCTGGTCTAACTTTCTTCTATTTCATCATCATAAGTTGTGAATCTGGTCATTTAATTTTTCCTGTTTAAAACCCTCCAGTGGTTTTCATTAACCTCTAATAAAGTTCAAGCACTTTCTGTGTATTATAAATTGTAGTGGATGGGCTCTAAGGTGGCCCCCACGAGCCACCTCACACCCGGTTTTCACAGCTCAGTATAAGCTCTTTTCAGTGAGTGTGGGTAGCCATTCACCTGGCTTCTAATCAATGGAATATGGCAAAGATGATGGCATTGAGTTTTTGTGAGCCAAGTAGTCATGTTGGAGAATTACCCGTGGGAAGGAAATGCAGCCATATGTGATTCCAGAAGCTTCTGGAAGAAGGTGTCACCTAGTAGCTGATAGTCAACATGAAAACTAGTCATTCAGATGTATAGCTGCAAGAAGTTCTGTCAGCAAGCCAGGAGAACTTGTAAGTGGTTTCTTCCCTGTTGAGAACCCTGCCCAGCCTTATGAGGCCCTTGGAGCAAAAAGTCCAGCTAAGCCTGCTCTGCTCTGAAGCCCAAGCTACAGACACTGTGAGCTAATAAGTACATGCCCATTATGTCACTGTGTTTGTGGGATCTGTTACAGCAACAATGGATAACCAACACACAATGTCTTCAGTTTCAGAAAAGCATTGCCTGTTCCTTCTGTCATTTCTGACCTTGAAGTCTTAGTTCCGGTAACACTCCTCCAAGAGTTATAATTTGTTTCAGTCCTGAACCACTCCTCCCCTGCCCAACTTCACCCCTTGACCCCCTCTCCACATTAACTCTATTCCTTGGGTCTCAATTTTAATATGAAGTCTTCAGTGAAGATTTCCTGAGCCCTAGAGGAGCTTGAGCTTCACTGTCTATGTTCAATAATACTTTCATGTGACAGGACATTGCTGTTTTATGAAAATTAATTTTAAAATATGTACTTTGCATATTATAGTTAAGAAGCATTTTAGATCTAAGCATAATAGATATTTATGTGGTCCATAAAAGCGATAGATCATCTTTGTAATACATATTTTGTAGACACAGAAACCTAATTTTAAGGCAGAGCCTAGGAAAGATCAGTGGAGGTGAAGGCCTACAAGTATGAGTCCATGTCAAAGGGCATATTCTCAGATGTGAAAGGAAAAAGAAAAAAACACCTTGGATTCATTCTGTTTCAGAATCAGCCTGGGTGCTTATCAACTGATGAATGGATAAAGAAAATGTGGAATGTACACAAAATGTAGTATTAAAAAAATGTAGTATTATCAGTTATCAATAAGATGGAAATATGTCATTAGCAGCCAAATGCATCTAAGTGTAGGGCTTTAAGTGAAATGGGTCAGATACAGAAGGAAAGCACCTTGTGTTCCCCGTTATTGTGGAAGCTAAAACATTTTGACTTAAAACACAGAAAGTGGTTCCTAGAGATTGGGAAGAGTTCAGGGCTGGGTAGAAATAGAGGTCGAATTTGATTAATCGATATCATATCATGTGGAGCCCCATTTATATGTACAATTCACACCTGTTAATTAAAAAAATGTTCATTGTTATATTTTAACAAAAACCTAGTACAATTGTGTCAGACCTTAGGCTGGCCACTTAGGGTACAGGGACAGATGAGGCACACTCACTCTCCTCAAGGGGCCCCATCCAGGAGGTAAGAAAGGAAGTCATATGAACTAAATTATGGATACATTATTACTTTAAAATAAATAGGATTAAATAGGATTTACAACAGAGATACGATATGTGAAAAAACTTAGTAATTTATAATGGTAGTAAAATGAATAACAACAGCTACCATAATTCCCAGTGTGTGCACAACCCTGTGTTAGGGGTTGCTCTTCACTATTTCAGCTTGGTGGCTGTAACTTGGATCTGCAGTGTCCCTCAAAGGCCTCGTGTTAAAGTTTAATCGCCAGCCTGTGGTCCTATGGGGAGGTGATGGAACTTTAAGGGGTGTGGCCTCATGAGAGGAAGTTAGGTCCTGGGGGAAAGTCCCTGAAGAAAATACTGGAACCCAGCCCTTCCTCACTCGAATTCTGCTTTCTAGTCACCATGAGGTGAGCGGTCCTCTGTCACTTGCTTCCTCCATGATGTTCTGCAGCATCATATGCCCAAAGGGACAGGGCCAACTGACCATGGACTGAAGCCATGAGCTGAAATGGACCTTTCCTCCTTATAAGTTGATAATGCCAAGTATTTTGTCACAGTGACCTAAAGCTAATAGTTTTATGAAGCAGGTATTGGAGTGAGGCAATTCTGATAGCAAAACCATCATCACAGTCCAGGTAAGGAAGAAAGGAATTGGGGCAGAACCAGCGCACCATCTCATCTGTACCCACCCCAGAAATAAGCTGTCTTGCATTCTCTCTCCCAGGTCCTGCACAGGTTGTCCTTGGAGCTCCTGTGCTTCCTGTGTGGAAGACTACTCCTCTGCCTATACTCACATCCCACTTCTGGAAAGTGACAGTGAAGTCCAAATGCCCAACCACGGTGCACAGACTGAACTTGGTGGGAAGTCTTTCCAATACCTGGAATCCCACTGCCTCAGTTTCCCCCTTACTTCTGCTACCATTCTCAGCCTTCCAACACCCCAGTCTCTGCTCCAACTCAAGCCTCTTATTGGCTGCCTCTTGGGGTAAGGGGTCTCAGTTTAAATGTCCCTCTTTCAGGAGGACTTCTGTAATCTCGCTACCTAAATTAAATCTCCGCTTGATACTTCCTATCTGGAACCACCGCCCTTTCTGTTCAGTTTCTGCATGGTAACAATCTCAGTTTATGACTATGCTGTTTGCCTCATGTTTACCCATATATTAACCCTCCCATCAACGATTAGACTATCAGCTTTATTAGCACCACATCCCGTTCACCTTTACTGTTGGATTCCTCGTACTAGGCACAGTTTATAGAACATAAAACTGGTCCTCTGCAACGATTTTCGAATAAAACAAAATGAATCATTTAATTGCCTAATGACCACCACCTTCCTTCATCACAGTTCTTCCCAGAATACCCCGCTGAATTACTGCAGAACCTCGGCCGAGTCACCCCTGGAGCACATGCCAAAGGGCCTCTGTCTCCTCCTAAAGAATGTGCGCGGTGCACATGCTGCCTGCCTGGGTAGTGGGGGACAGTCCCTCAGAATGCTTGGATATGTTCCTGGAAAGGAATACAGCGCTCAGTTTTACAGCAGACTCAGAGAGGTTAATCAATTCCACGGTCAGTATTTGCATTTGGACTTGTCAGACATTCAAGTTCAGACTGCGCCTGCTCCAAACAAGACCTGGCTGAAGAAATGAAATTGATTTTCTTATCTGCCAGCTTCAATCCCAGATGACATTGTATTCCGCACCTCTGGAAGTAAAAAAGGAGATGAGGGGGGCAGGGTTGCTAGGCAACCAAGGCACCAGGACGTCCTGGTTGCAGCATAATCAGCTGGAATCTGGCAAACCTCCCAGAACTGGAGTACCAGAAATAATTATTTATCTGGCCTCTAATATCCTATCAGGACTGCCTTGAATGCTCGTGTCTCCTACTAAAATTATAAACATTCCCAGCTTCACATCATCTAAAATGTAATTTTACTCTTTTAGATAATGTAAAACAATATTAACTAACAATTTGACCTATCCAAAAATTTATCCAAAATACAGTATCAGCCCTGGGAGAATGAGTTTCTATATAAGACTTCATTTTTCAAAAAGAAGCATTTTTCAGATTTTAAGACAGATATTATCTCACCTGTACTAAGTCACATATTTACACAATTAAATGATCTGAAATATGACCAATAATTCAGATTTGTTTTAGGGCTGGGCTCCAGATGATGAATTAATTAATTCATTAATCAGTCTTGCCTTCCCAAGGAATACACTACATCTGCCATGCAGAACTGCAAAGAGAAGTTCAAAACCTTGCATGAAATACGCATGTTTCATCACTAACAACCTCAAAACTTTGAAAGTGAAGTGTTTGTGGGTGTTGGAGGTTACAGAGGCTTTCTTCACCGGAGCAGTGCTGTGTGCAAGCACCCACACGTGTGTGTGAGGGAATGGCACTCTTGGTGAAGGACTTCAGCTGACCACCTAAAGAATGGGCTCTGTGCCCCTCTACTTAAAGGAGTGGGTAAAGCAATGGCTCACACCTGCAAAACCCTGACTGTGGGAAGCTGCCTGCAATGACTTCTTACACCAGAAGTAGATTATGTTTTGGGAAGAATCTGGTCTTCCACTGGGCACAGTTCTGAGGTTTGTACTTCCTGTGGCCTACCGGGCCAGCTGCAAGGATGGGAGCTGTGTCTCAGGGCCTGTCTTCAGGGGTCACTTGACCAAACAGAAAGATGTCTGGTGTGGTCAAAACTAGATGTGTAAGAGCTGAGAGAGGAGTTGTAAACTGTGAGCTGAAAATTTGAGCTCTGTTCATAGTCATCGGAGTCAGGGGAGAGGTCTCAAAAAAAAACCTCTTTTTTGGTAACTCAGTTTCATTGTTATGTTCACCTTTTTTTCTCTGTAGAATAAAATAAAATATCTAAGTATACACTTGATTTTTAAATTACATTTTTCAGTCTTCAGTGTTTTTAAAAGATCACTTATTAAGTCTTGCTTTAATGACTATAATAATGATGAAATAATTGTAAGATAAGAGAATAATTTCATTAATACTTTTATGTCTACCATCCAGTGTAAGAAATAAAGTAGAAAATATTACCACTAAATTTATATGACCAAAAAGAACCCTTGTAAGGGCTCTCTGAGCAAACACACCAAAATTCAGAATTGGGATGGGTCAAAAGAGAATAGAGCAACCACAGCCGCTCTTCCCTGCTGGATTGCTGCGAGAGCTGGACAACCTGCGAAAGAGGAGAGCCTTGTTAATCACATGCAGAGATACTACGGGCATGTCAGGCCACTTGTGCATTAATTAGTCAGCGGGGCACAGAACAGCTGAAGGTCCCTTCACTGTGAAAGTATCCAGAACATGTATGGTGCCTGTCAGAGTGGAGGCTAACCAGCCATAGGGTGCATTCTGAACAATGACGGTATATGACAAAGCGGTTTTGTTGCTCAAGGTTCCTGTTTCTTTAAGCCTTTGGATATTTTCCTAATGGGTATGGTCTGTTCTTAGGACTAACAGCATTTGTGACATAATTTCCTACAACTGATCACTGAATTTCCCCGCCCCTAGAAAATAGAGGTGAATGGTAAATTGTGGGCTAATGAGTTGCACTAGAATGAAACAGTGATGTGTTGGTTTTGGAGATATTTTTGCAAGGGAACACAATAGAATGCAGGACACATATTTTATATGATGATTTATAATAGTCACCCAAAGAATGATACACAAGAGAGTGCAGGAAATCTGTCCACACACTGAGACCAAGAATCCCACTGAGGGCCTGGACCCCATGATAATGTCCTGCATGAGTCCAGCTTAAGACTTAGAGCTCATAAGATTGCCTCCCATGAATCCAACTGGAGGCCTAGAGCCCATAACAATATCTCATGCAGGCCTGTTTCATGGATCTGCACTGGGAAGGCCCAAAGCTCAGTGGTGGAATCTAGGAAGTCTGTGCCAGTGGGATGAAAGATCTGTGCTAGCAGGCTGAGGGATCTACACTGGAGTCAGGAAGCGATGCTCAAAGTAAGAAGCAGCGCTCCCCTGAAAGGTACCACAGCCGTCCTCAGCGACAGTGAGGTCCCGAGCTCCTCTGATGATCAAGATAGCCGAGTTCCCATCAGGAAAGTCAATGCAGCAAGCTTCTCCAGGAGACCAGCAGTGCACCATCTTCCCCTCTGGAGCCAGGAAGCAATGCACAAGTGAGGACCAGAGCTCCCCTAAAGTGAACTGAAGCTATTCTCAGTGCCAGCGAGGTCCTGAGCTCCTTGCAGGATGAAAACAGCCGAGTTCATCAGGAAAGCCAGCATGACGAGCTCCTCCAACAGAACCAACAGCTCCTTACAGCTTCCACCAGCTCCAACAGCCTTTCTCTGCTCCCAACAGCTTTGCTTTTTTTCCAATTTTCCCTCTTATGCTGCTGGCAACAATCCTCAGGTGGGCCTCCCACACCCAGCACCATGTTACTCAGTTCAGCGGGTGTGTGTGTGTGTGTGTGTGTGTGTGTGTGTTATAAGTTGACTACCAGTTGTCAATCCACTACAAGTGACAAAATAACGTCATCTAGGCTCTGTCACATTCATGAGCTTTTGTCACATGGCAAAGTCTCATTATTTTGAGCTTACCAAGGGGAACTAACTCAGGACCTTTTGTGTGCCAGGTTCCAGGACAAACTTTGACCAGCGCAGGGTCTGTGCAGTGGAGGACAGGTGGGTTTGATATCGACAGTCAGGGGACCTGTCACCCCAGTGAGCTGCTAGTCCTAACTCATCAAAGTTAGAGACAGGCCTCTAGGCAATTCTGTGGAATAAGCTATATACAGTTCCATTTTAAAAAATAGAAAGTGGAAGTTCGTAGAGATGCTAATGAAATTTGCACTAAAGAAGTAGTATTCGATTTGACTTAAAACTCTTAGCTACACTTTAATAGGAAATTAGTATTCAAGAGATTTTCTTTTCATTGTGACATGAAGCTTAGGTTTGTGGGTAAAATTTTAAGAGTAAAATTTAACTCCTTGAATAAAGTTTCTCAGCAACTCTACATTATCTATCTATCCACAAGGAGTGATGGAAATATACATTGAATGTTTCAATATTTTAAATACATTATAATAAAACACACACAGCCATTAATTCCCCTTAAGGTACTTCCCCTCACTTTGAACAGGCAATTTTAAAGAAAGACATATTAGAAGCCATTTACCTAAGCTAGTTATGTCTTTGAGCAACTGACAGTCTCTCAGTCTGCAGCTAAATAGAATAATACTCATTGCTACCCAGTAATATTGTGAAAATAAAAACAAGACTACAAAGATTAGAGCATTTTGAAATTGTAAGAGAATATGCAGATATAAAGACATGTTATAGGAACATGTGTGTCAAACTGAAAATTCCTAAGACTCTTGTAGAATTATGTGTTTCAGGATAGTTACTGTTTTCAATATTAATAACAATGTTCAAATTTGAATTTTCAATCTTGTTCACTTTTCTCTCATTGACATTTGTTTATTTGAACATGATATGCCTACAAGAGAAAACCATACATATGCTGCTTTTTCAAAATATTAGTAGTATTGCACAGAAACAGAGCTTATATTTTCTTACTCCAGATATCTCATTGAAATGGAGACATTTTGTAAAACATTACGAAGTGATGATCTTTAGTTGTAGTTAAGATGAACTCATTGTGAATATAGCAAATAATTTAATTTTTCTGTGCTTCATCTGAATTTTTACAGATGAGGATTATAAAATGTGCCCTTTCCTATCTTACAGGTATGTTTTATCTGCACAGTGAAATAATTTTACTGAAGATAGATGGACCCCTTGAAATTCTGGAGCTGGGTAATCCTGGAGAAGTGTGCATTGACCAAATCAGATGGAGAAAGCTAGTATTTAGTTTAGTTCAGTCTGTGTTTACTGAGCCTTTATAACACACCTATCAGTGAGACTCTCTCTTTTACTATTGTCCTTTTTTTTTTTTTTTTAAGAAAGGTCTCACTTTGTAGCCCAGGCTGGCCATGAATTCATGGTGGTCTTCCTGTCTCAGCCTCCTCAGTGCGGGGATTACAGGCATGTGTCACCAAGTCCAGCTCTCATTTGCTATCTGTTTATAGATTCTATGCAATTCGAGTTCTTGTCCAACTCTCTTCCCTCAAACTACAATCATGGAGTTATTGGAGCTAAGTGGGTCAAGGGCCTGGCCTTGGGATCTGGTAGAAAGTGAAATTAGTGCTCACTACGCATGCAGGAAGTGTGGAATGTGAGGGGCTGGGGGTGAGCTGCAGTAGATGAGTCAAAGTTTGCAGGAGCAGGGCAGAGCTGAGAAATTAGTACAGCGGGGGTGGGGGAGAGCTGGCCTGAGCGTTTTCCAGTTTCCTTTGTGTAAATGCCCCTGCCTTGGCTGATTTTAAGCTGCTACTGCAATGTTGCTGCACAGGGAATCTGTGGCTATCGTTGGCTTCCTCAAGCCAGAAGAACCCAGCTCCCCCTCAATGCTGGGTCAAGGACGTGGTAGCCAGAAGGAGAAGCAACTACTCTTCCCAGGCCCCTAGGAGAACCGCCGCACGATTTGCTTTTTAGGTAGATACTATGAGAACAAAGACATCCTTCATGTCTTCCCATCCCAAACAAAAATATCTGAAAGCCATAATTTGAAGCTTTCTCCGCCCGTCTGTAGTGTGACCCTCTCATCAGGAAAATCACGGTTATTTGCGGTTTCCCCTCCCTCTCTCAGGAGCTGCCTTCCTCAGT